ACGAATCACAATCTAGTGAAGTAATATTCTGAAATTGAGGACAAAGCTTCTTCAACATAGGCAAAGAAGGATGTCCTAATCGACAATGTGCCTCAAATGGAGACACGACACAAGAGTAGGTAGCAAATCGAGGCTCCCAATATTCATCAAGAATGTAGAGACTATCGGATACATGTCCTTTACCAATAACTTTATTTGTCTTCAGATCACGAAACAAACAATGATCGGGAAAGAAAGAGATATAACAGTTTAGGTCTCTGGTAAGCTTACTAACAGACATCAAATTAAAGGCTAACTTTGGTAGACCTAATACAGATGACAAGGTAATGGAAGAAGTTGGTTTTACAGTCCCAGATCCTATAATATTACAGATTGAACCATCAGCAACCGTCACAGGAGAGAGTGCTCCGTGTGATCGAAAGCTAGAATATATATTAGGATTACCTGTCATGTGATCTGTGGCACCTGAATCGATCACCCATTTATTCGAAGAGGATATAAGACATGCTTTTCCTGACTCAACAAGGGTAGTAGCTGAAATAGATTCTTTTTGTAATTTTTTGATATTGTGAGAATTTTGCAAACTCTTCCGCCGAAACCAAAGTTCTTTTATCCGAAAACATAGGAGCCACAATTTCAGTCATTCTCTCCAAATATTTTAGCAGCACAAGAACTTATCAACAGAAAATATAACCAGAAGCATGTATGTGACCCCACAAACACTGTTGAACAAATTCTAAAAAATGATTTTATCAACTAAGAAACCAATTATTCACCCAAAATGAAGAATCTGAGTACTTTACCAGTAGACAAGAGCAAGTAATGAACAATCAAATACCCAAGCAAGTAGTTCAGAGAAAGAAATTCTGAACCGCAGCTTATGACCAAACAACACCAATTATCTGATCTGAAGTAGAAGCTAGCAGCCACAGAACCACAAAGTACAGACCAGATTCAGTGTAGCAGAATAGAAACGAACCAGGGAGTGACGAACAAACTTTCCAGATCGTATTTTAACACCAAAACAGACCTGAGAAGTGACCGAACAGACTTTCCAGATCTATTTTAACACCAGAACAGACCTGAGATTCACCAGAAATACGTGTCGATGCCGTAAATTAAAACCCAATCGATTCAGCCAGACACGCACCTTCACGTGCCGGCCCGTGATGAACAAAAGACTGTATGACCTGTGCGTGACAGCCACTCGCTTCACAACCAGATGCCAGTGAAGACTGGTTTGGCTGGAAAATATACTCCGCCTCCTTCTGTGGTGGTGATGACTGACCACTTTAAATCAGTGGAATAGAAATCCAAACTTCTTCAGTAACACAGCCAAAACGACACGAGCCTATTGGCTCTGATACCATGTAATTGAATGGAAGATCTTATCTCATTCCAGTAGGTGAACAGTGAATAAATACAATACATAAGGTGCTAACTAAGGAAAGAAATAAAGAGTGATTCCTACAGATCTGCAGTGATCCCTATAAATCTGCTGCCTATATATAGCTATGTATATTACTAAGATTAAGTCTATATACATTCTATAACAGGCATGTTAGCATGATGGACAACTAAATGATTGTATAGATTAATGTAATTATATAGTGATATAAATTAGCATGATCATATACATTTGTTGTAGAATCAAAGGAATAAATATTGTGATAGAATAGCTGATTTGGAGGGATAGCAAGGCAGATTTAGAGGGATTGAATAGCAGATTTGTAGAGATAGAATAGCTGATCTTTAGGGATAGGAATGGCGGATCTTTAGGGATGTGTAATCTTTATTTTCTCTATATAATGGAAAGACTCTCACTTTGAGAGGCATTCAGCAGAAAATTAGCAGAAAATTGACAGGGCATGCACTACATTACAAATGAGTTATGTTTGGGCACAACCCAACTAAACCTATTTATTTTCAGTAGCCCAAACCAATCCATAACTTTAGCACAAATTGACCCGTTAGTGTCCGAAAAGAATTCTTATGCGTTGTCACTCTAAGTTGCTTGAACTCGGGTGTGGGTGTCCGATACGGTTGCGGATCTAGAGGTCGGATCCTTCATGATCTAATTTTTAAGATTCGGGGATATGGATCCATGTATGGATACGGGTCGGGGATTCTCTTAAAATAATGAAAATATCTAAGAATTGAATTATAAAACCTAAATTATGAGATATTATGTGGAGAACTTGAGGAGAATCCTGGAAGGAGATTAAAGGAAAAGGAGTGACATAGAAATTTCTATATAAAAGGTGTTCCATTTTCTTCAATTGCACCTTAGTTTTTGTATTGATTATAGGAATCATTAAAATTGCCCAGACTTGTCCCACCGATTTTGGTCAAAGTACCCAAAATCCGTTGACCAAATCGGACACGGATCCCACACCCATCGTGTCGACACGGGTGCGGCACCAAAAATGAAGAGTCTGAGCAACTTAGTTGTTACTTTCTCTTCTTTCTTTGTGAATAAATCTTGAAGATCACAGTGGGCATGAGATATACATAGTGGGTAGTGGCTAATGTTTATCTTCTTCCAACCTAAATTGGTGCCTGAGAAAAATCATTTTAATACCTTCCATAATTTCTCGTTTTATTTTTAATTAGTACTGTGACTAGGAAATTGTATCAAATTTACTTTAGCATTTATATTTTCCTTTAGTTTCAATAAAAAGGGCAGCTCAACGCACAAAGCATACACGTTAGGAGGGTGGAGGAAGGACCGCAGCTCAAGAGGTGTGATGTAGACAATCTACTCTATTGCAAGCATTAGTGGCTGCTTCCACAGCTCGAACCCGTGACTTATAGATCACACAGAGATAACTTTATTGTTGCTCTTGCTCCAAGGCTCCCCTTCTTGCTTTAGTTTCAAATTGTATTAAGAATTCTTTGAATGTAGATCTTCTGGTGCAAACTTTATGGTGAAAGATTCTCGTGAAAAAGAATTTAATCCTTGCAACTAGGGTAGCTTTACTTATTTGTATAAATTTTTAACTTTATGTAATATGTACTAAAACATGTTTGAAAATATTTGGTTGATTATGTTCTGGAAAAAAAAAGTTGGGCCAAGTTGGACTATAGCCCCTTATTTAGCCCATCTTGATCCAATCCATCTTAGCCCAGCCGAGCAAATATTGGGCAGGCTTGGGCATTGACCCATTTATTGGTTCAATGCATCTTAACCTGCTCAACCTTAGCCCAAACAGCCCATTTTCCACCCCTAGGTAAAACCATCAACAAGTTTTTACTCCCTCTGACCCAATTTTTGTGGCACCCTTTCCTTTTTAGTCCGTCCCAAAAAGAATATCATCTTTCCTTATATGGAAACTATTTAATGGCACCATTCATTTTACCCTTATTGGATCCCACTTAGTACTTAATTGTGAAGAAGAGTTGACTAAAAGTAAGCACTAAAGTGACATTAATAAGGACAATTTGGTAAACATAACAAAGTCTTCCCTTATTTCTTAAACTCCATGCGCTGTCAAACAGAGACACCTAAATTGGGACGGAGGGAGTAATTGATATGGAAGGCAGAGATGAAAAAGGAATAGAAGAAAAGAGTGGAAATGTAAAAGAAAATGTGAACTTTTTGATGTAGTTTCAGTGATGGCATCAGAAAGATGCAGAGAGTACAAAGATAGTAAGGGCCCATTTGGACATAAATATTTTGTAGCTTTTTTTCAAAAACTTGTTTGGTTGTACATTGTATCAATTTTTCACTTCAAACTGAAGAATCTTCAAGTTTCTCAGACCACTTTCTCAAGTAAAAAAAAATCCAAATTCCCTCACAAATCTTCAACATTTTTCAAGTGAAATATATGTCCAAACACAACTTCAACTTCCAAATTCTCTTTTTCAACCCAACTTCAAATACTACTTCTCAAATATCACTCAATTCATGTCCAAGCGCTTACCAAGTACCAAAGAGAGTTTGTTAGCTCCATTACATGAAGTTCTATGCCAAACATAAGGAAATAACAAAGTCCAAAGAGATGTAAGGGGTATTTACAGGGAATAGTTTTTTTATTTTCTTTTTAAGAAAGATTAACAATATTTACAGGGGTTAGATCACTCCAAGCCTCCAACTAAATAAACTACTTGAGAAGTGAGAACAAAGTCCAAAAAGTTGTCAATGGTATTTACAGGAGATAGTTCAAATATTGTAGAAGATCTGTATTGATAGATGCTAAAAGGAAGTCCACACCAATCTACTTTTTGAGGGAGTTGGAGACAATTGAAGAGGCAGCAAAATAGGAACTTTCAGTCAGGGAGAGCTAAACAAGGTCGAGACAAGATGATGGATATTCCAAGGAAGATCGAAGAAGATGAATGAAGGTTTATACCTAACCCTAACTGGCACTATGAATTCAATCCCATCTACATAGATGTTCCAAGCCACGAGATGAGGGGGGTCTCTCTTACTGTTAACCCGTTTTCCTCTGGTTGTTGGGAAGTGAGTTAAAATGATCAAAAGAAATAAATATGGAGTCTAAACCATGGATGCAAGGACACAAAGTTTTTACCTTTAGGTTTATCTCTCATCATATCAGAAACAAAATGACTTTGTAAAAACTTTTTAAGTACACTTCCTTTCTTTCTCATCTCCAGCATATAATTTAAAATTTCCAAATCCAATACCTTCATTCAGAACAATTTTTACTCAATCAATTAAAAGGTTATACAAAAAATTTATTAGAACCCAAAGTTTTGAAAGAAAAAGATGGATACAATTTAACCTCCCATGTGTCAAATTAATGCTGGTAAAGCAAGTAAAGCAGAAGAAAACATAAAAGGGGAACAGAAATCGAAGTCGACGCATAGACATCAAATAAAGAACTGATTGATTACAATTACGTCAATGTCTCGTAGAATGAACAACTATGACATTAATTAGTTTACCAATAAAGGATATACAACCAAAAAAAAAAAAAAAAAAATGATGAAAAGAAGAAAATAAACATTTACCTCTATAATAGCATCCCGGATGTCATTAAGACCTCCAACATCCTCCCAGCCAGACCGGCCACCATCAGCAGCAGGTTTAGTGATGTCACGCATAGCCACTGGAACAAACTCATGCATGGCACGCAGGAAATCATCCTTAAACAAAACAGGTTTTTCCTGACTGCCAACAGCCAAATCACTAGACAAAAACCGGGCAGTTGCAGCATGAACAGACCTATCAACCAGTATTTCCTGAAATAAAATAAAGCCCAGCATAAATGCAAATGTACCTCTGATAGCTAAAGAATGGAAATCAGAAACTCCATCAAATTATGGCCAGAACACAAAGAACAAAGCTGCACATGAACACTATATTTTGGACTCACAACTTCAATGAAATACAATTTTAAGACATTAATCATCGAGATATATGATACAACCTGAAAATGGACAATATTAAAACTTTATGTTCAGAAGCTACAATACAGTTTATGAAGTACAAATAGTTCATTGTGAAGGGATGTCGTAGAATGGTAAGGGTTCCACTACCCTTAACTAGAGGTCTCAGCTTCAAGCCCTAGGGATGGAGTCTCCTTTGAGAGGGTCATAGGAAGCCCTAAAGAACCCCAAAGTGGGTTTTCTATGGTGTTAGTTCCAATTAGTCAGGCCAGTGGGTTCAGAGTACCAGATGGAACAAATACTTCACTCTGATTGACATGCTTGTCTATATGACTTTCTTCTGGATGACTATTGCTGTTTCAACAGTGGATAGAGAGATGCTGATTCTCAGTTCAAGCGTGAGTAGGAGTATTAGAAAACCAAATCGCGTACATGGTTTAACAAAATATTGATAATATGTAGTCCAACTGTTAGCTACCCACAAAAAGAAATAATTCACCAACCACATAATAATTCATTTCTTGCACAGAAAAGGTAAGCTACTTCGTGACCTCCCAAAATATAAATTCATGTTGTACATGGGGAAGGGAATATTAGGGCTCGGCCATGTTAATCAGTACATAGATGGTTTATCCCAACTAAACAAAAGACAAGCAGTAAAAGATATGGTTATAGTAGCTCACGAATTCATCCTTCTAATCGAGAAAAAAACCTCTCGTTCCATTTTTTCTTGGATAGACAAGAAGTACTTGTCTATTACTGGCCATCTCTCAATTAGATAGCCTTGCATGGTCCTAAATTAAGAGGAAATTGTTGTCTGTAAGTACCATATGAAGTGCTCTCTTCAATAAAAAAGAATAGCTCCCAGTTCTACTGTCATGCCCATTCATGAGGGGAATTCCTAGAATAAATTACTTCAACATCTTTTGATAAGGAAAAAAAATGTTGAATTAATTTATTTTACTTCAACATTATTCCTTAGTTCTCTGTTTGCAGAAGGCAGGAAGTTTGGAGTTTGGACATCTAAGCTAAATTTGTGATTCTCCTGCACATACTTCAATTGGAAGGAAAATCAGGAAGGACAGATTTATGCATTCCAGATCAAATTAAAAGCTAATCATATGCAGCTGAGGTAGCAGCAAGCATTCATAGAGAAGTGTTGTAATCAGTTATTAACAAAACTTAGAGCTGAACTAAGTACCAGATCATATGCGTCATATCCATCACACTTGGAGGCTATATCCAGCAAGGTGTCATCAGAACATTGCAAAGAACGCTTCTGAATGATATGTTTTAGCAAGGCACCACGCTCTGTGGTAGCAGGTGCAGACAATTTAACATGAAAGTCAAACCTCCCTGATCATAATAAAATTCAATACATTAGGATTAAGAATAAAGTGTTGAGATAATAAAGCTAGAGGAAGACAGTTTAAACTGTCATAAGCAACAAAACTGATTTCTCCATGAATGATGATGGACTAACCAGAAGAGGTCAAGTTCTGTGGTAAATTAGTCAGAGACTGTGCACAAGCAATAAATGCAACTGGGCCAATCCCACACGTGTTCCTCCGCTTTTCCTATTTAACATACAGAAACAGATTTATCACTTAAAAGGATCTGTGATGAAATTACTCAAGAGCCCAAGACCTAACTGACGTTGCAAATAATATTGCAAACCTTGAATGTTCTTGGCGAAGAGTTATCAATGCACAGAGGTTGATTTTTAATAATGGTGGTATTTGGGTCAGCTTGTGTGTACCTGGACTATTCCATCAACTTCTAGAATATGAGAATTTTCTAGGTTTGTCTAAGTTCACAGAAAAAAAAAATATGGGATTAGCATCATGACTGTACTGCTTCAGAATCCTATATGTTCTCATCAGTTGTGTTATTCCTACCTCATTCAGAAGCAACTATATCTTCCGCCAATTTTTGGGAAAGCGGAACTGAGTTGGTGGAGATTCTAAGATGAAAACAAAAATCAAGCTGACAATGGAAATTCTGAAATCCTAGCTCGTTTAGACCCAAACACCATCGAACACATCATGCTTCAGATAAATATTAAAGTAGCTCCCTGCACAGGGTCAAACAAGTCTCACCTCATATTCATCCATAATATCAGCAAAATATTCTGCAAGCACTGCTGATGAGGATGAAGGTTGAGAAGCCTCAGATTCAGAGGAAGCTGCAACAATGCTATCAAGATCATCAAACACCACAACAGAAGGTGCATGATCCAAAGCATCAGCAACATAGCTCAATAAAGTTTGACGAATGGCTGAAGGCTTTTCCAAAGCAAGCTTAGAACAAGATAAGAATATTCTGCAGAAAGAAACAAGAGTCAGGCTTCGTCCCTTGGTACAAAATCATTAACGTTCAAACTGAAGCTTCAAAATGGAGTAAAGCTGATGTCCAACAGAAAACAAAGGTTTAGTGGGATTGACGAAACAAATCCTTACATATGGGCCAAGATGTCCTCACTTTCTTCAGCAAATTTAGCAGCAACTGTAGCTAATAATGTTTTCCCCGAACCCTAAAATCAGAAGAATGTCCAATTTGGGTTCATTAAACAGTTTTTAATAATATTGTAAGATTCACATTAGTCAGGGTCAAAATCATACTAAAACTAACCTAGATAAAAATAGAGATAGGAATTACACTTATCCACTTACATCTCATACATTACACAAATTGCACTTCTATGCATTTGCTCCATTCGGGATCCATAAGTTCAAGGACATATCATAAAGGATACCATTACTATAAAGGAAATTCAGCACTTTGTGACCATACACTTCCTTACTACACATCCCTTTCAAAATTGTTTTAGTCAGCGTGTATCAGCAACGATAATATACAAAAGATTATACCTCAATGTGCAGTTGCAAACTATCTTTAAAGGACAAATGATATCTATAATAAGTTTTGCATTTTGATACTTGGTTTCATCCTTTAAGATGGTAAAGGAGTGAGATAAAAAACTTAAAAAGCAATAGTTCTCAATTAACGATTAACTTAATTCGGGACTTCTTAGTAGCATCACCAAGGACATATACGATTTAGTCTACGCTTAAGTAGTCTGAGAAACTCAACCAATCGGCATTTAGTGGAGCTACTGACCAAATAAGAGTTTCCTAGCTAGCATCTTTTCTTTTCTTTTTTCATTAAGGCCAAACAAGAAGTTAAAAGCCTAATTAATTGCATTTAAATTAGAAAAATAGACCAAGCTCACACGTAGATTTAAAAACTTTTTTATTAAGGACCAAGCTGGCATGTAGATTGAAAGCCTATGATAAATCAAATTTGAAAGTTAATAATACAAGAGACACCAACCGTTTCTTCCCTTCTTGTGCAAAAGACTAGTAAAGCCTTTTGTAAAACTTTTAAAAAAAATTGAACCTGTTTGTCTCTAAATGAGTAGACTAAGTGTATTATTCTAAAACAAAAAATGATTTTCAATAAACATGGTCTCCTCAAATTCTGAATCTCAAAATCTTTTATTTCTGATAAGTAAGAGAGAATTTTATTCATCAATTTGGAATGCACTAAACAGGTGTTGACATGTATGTAGTGAGCATTGTTACAAAAAAGATACATGTAGATTCTCCTACAGCTTCTCAAGAGTGTGAAGTAACTCAAATTTATTAAAAAAGCTAATAGGTACACTTTCAATTTTGTTAGGGAAGTGTATCTATGTTGTATACAAGTGCTGCAGACTTGCAGCTACTTCATTCTCAAAACACCAGCTTGTTTTCCATTCTAAATCACCCATAAAATACAAGGCGGAATTCTGGTCCATATGCCTTTATGCTGTCTTTTCCCCTTCTTTTCCATCCAGCATATAATAGCTTCCTATAAGCTGCTTCACATCACTATTTTACATTTACCAAGGAACATCTGTCATAGCTGAGATGCTACGGTCACACTCTTGCATCTATTATATCCCAGGGAGCCAGATTTCAGATGAGTGTTATCTCTTAGTCAGCTTCCTCAAGAGAGTGGAAGCCATTCAGGTTCCTTCTTAAAATCCTAGCATTTTATGGTTCAGAATATTTTTCTTTTTTTTTTTTTTTTTTTTGGCTTCTTCCTAAATTTCTATGTTCACTGGTCAAGAAGAAAAATAAGACATAAGCATAAACTGTCCCCTTTAATAAGTCAACTCTACTAATGGTCCCTGCATTGGGCCACTGGATCTTGTGGGCTCCAGTGGTCCCTGCATTGTCTTCTTTTACTTGTATCGTCCCTACATTGTGGGCCACCGGATCTTGCAGGCTCCCCAAATCTAATGGTCCAAAATTGCAGGGACCAAGTTAAACCGGGGTCATTGGAAGAATGCTCAAGACAATCAAAGCATGTAAGGAATATTCTATAGCATGTGTACATATAGTAGGTAGCTTGATTTACTCCTAACTTGATCTGTTCTAGAACTCCTAGCTTGATTAGGTATTGATTTGTATTGATTTCCTTTGCTTTTTAGGACATGACATGCATACTTAGCTATTTAAACTCCAATAGCTTGTCGGAATAATCAAGCAGAGTTCTCTCTCAAACTCGTGTCTTCTCACATGGTATCAGAGCTTTCTTTAGTGAGAAAACAAGAATAATAAGAGAACAAAATTGCTGAGAAATTTTTTTCCAGCAAAACCTCCATTGTTCCGCGACTCTGACACTCTCAGGGGTATTGTGCATATACCATTACCACCATTACGATCGGAATCCTCGCGGCTTGTGGTGTTTTTCAGCCACTTTTCCGGCAGATTTTTTTCCAGTAACTTTTTCCAGCGAGACAGCAAGCAGTTCTCAGTATTCCAGATCTATTCTTCAGGTTTTTTCCCTAGAATTTACTTTATTTTTGGACAGTAATAGATCTGTTTTTCATGTCTCTCGGATCCGATATGTTTAGCACTAAATCTGTGAGTTCCAGCAACCTAAACCATGGCATCACCACAGAACCTTTGACGGGTAGTGCAAACTATTTATCTTGGTCCTCCTCTATTCAATTATGGTGCAAGGGACAAGGTGCTCAGGATCACTAGGTTACACTGGCCAAGGATAGTACTAAAAAGGATAGGGATGAATGGGAGAAGATTGATGCTCAATTGTGTAGTCTGATATGGAAATCATTGATTCAAAGTTGATGCAAATTGTTTCGACCATTCAAAACTTGCTTCTTAGTTTGGGAAAAGGCTCGTAGGCTATACACAAATGACATATACCGCTTTTTATAATGTGACTTCTCGATTGACTAACCTTAAAAAGCAGGACTCAGATATGTCAACTTATCTTGGACAGGTTCATGCGGTTATGGAAGAATTTAATGAGTTAATTCCCGCTACTCCAAGTATTGAAAAGCAATGGAGCAGCGTTACAGAAGATGTTTCTAGTTGTTACACTTGTTGGACTTCCATCTAATCTTGACACAGTGCAAGATCAAATTTTGGCTAGCTCTACTGTTCCTGTTGTGGATGACTTGTATGCTTGAATGTTACGACTAGCTGCACCACCTATGACGTCTAGTCATCTGGTACCACCTGCAAATTCTTCTGTCCTAGCATCTCAGACTCCATTTCAGAGAAAATCGACATGGAGGCCGGTATGGGAAACAACGACCAAGATGTGCCTATTGTAACAAATTGGGTCATACCCGTGATGCGTGCTACTCTCTACATGGTAAACCAAAGAATGCTCATGTTGCTCAAACTGAATACACTGGTGATCCCACCAATCAATTGTTCTCTTTGTCTGAGGTAATACAATGACTTTCTCCGGTATCAGGCGAGTAAGCAGACATCTTCATCAATAGCTTTTGTTGCCCAAGTTAGTAATCATGTTAATCACGTTGATTTTTTTATTAAAATCATGTTAATCATGTTGCTTGTATCCCACAGTCCACCACACTTGGCCCTTGGGTTATGGACTCAGGTGCTTCTAACCACATTTTTGGTAACAATCTTTATTGTCCAATATTACTTACTCTCAGTCCCTTCCCACTGTTACATTAGCAGATGGTTCCCAGACCATGGTAGCCGGAGTCAGTCAAGCCAATTCCTTACCTTCCTTGACTCTAAATAATGTTCTTTGTCCCTGGTTGTCCCCTTTAGCCTCTTCTCAATAAGTCGTTTGGCAAAGGCTTTAAATTGTTTCGTCTCATTTTTTAGTGACTTCTTTATCATACAGGACCTCAGTATGGGAAGGATGATTGGTGAAGGGCATAAGTTTGATGGACTTTATCATCTCAATTCTCACAAATCCACTATAGTTTGTTCAGTCTCAGAGTCTCCAAATTTAATCCACAGAAGATCGGGACACCCTAGGTTATCCAAACTTCAAAAGATGGTACCTAGCTTGTCCAAATTGTCTAAGTTAGATTGTGAGCCAGGTCGATTGGGGAAGTACACCTGAGCTACTTTTCCATGTAGTCCTAATAATCGTGCAGAGTCTCTTTCTCATTTAGTTCATTATGATATTTGGGGTCCTAGTAGAGTCAGTTCTACATTGGGTTTTAAAGTATTTTGTTACTTTCATTGATGATTACTCAAGGTGCACTTGGATGTTCTTAATGAAAGATCGTTCTGAATTATTTTCCATATTTCAAACTTTTTGTGCTGAAATAAAAAAAAAACAGTTTGGTGTTTCTATTCACACTTTTCGTAGTGATAATGCACGTGAATATTTATCATCTCAATAGTGTAAGGAAGTACAGCTTGTTCTTCTCCCTTTCTTTCTCCTTCGACTTAGAAGGCATGAAATAAATTAGTTAATATTTCCTAGACTATTCCATCTCCTGAGGAATCAAACATTATACCATCAGAGAGGGAAAACACAAAACAATATAAAAGTAGCTTGTAAACCATCTAATCAGTACACTTTCAAGCTTCTTCAGAGATTTCAACATCCTAATATTCAGCGCATACACATCAAAAGGAACTAGAAAAAGGAACTCACAGAAGGACCATGGATTAGGATATGTCCTGGCAGCGGAAAATCATAAGCACTGGACAACATCCAAGATGCAGAAGATAACAATACTACCAACCCTGCAAAGTGATGATAGCATTCAGTCAAGGTGAAAAGATAGTACTTGTCTGGTTAAAAAAAGAAATTTGTTCAGTCTTCTAGTTAACAGTTTTTTGGAGGTGGCCAGCATAGCCCTTAATGCTGAGGAATACAAAAAGTTAACAGTTTCAAAAAAAAAAGAAATTTGTCCAGTCACAAAATTAACTTGGCAGACAAACGAGAAATAAATGAATATGCAACTCTCTGTGACATATTACAGACTTGCATAACAAAAATATCGTTCACAATATTTTCCATAAAAGCTGAAACCTTTTAAGATCTTCACTGACGTCGCTGGGTTTGCTAACTTAGACTCTCAGCTTCTAATTGCAAAAAGTACTATTCCATCCCTTTATCCTACCAACCACATGTTGGCTTTATGCAGATTTATTTCTCCATCAACTAGCATGAATAGGAATTCGAAAACCAAGATTGCTAAAAGCATCAGAAACAAACAAACACCAAAAATTGCACACTGCATTCTTTTATTCCAGCATCTGGCAATTCATGCTTTCCCATTTGGTAAATTTCGTAGCTTAAATACTTATTCCATTTCCCAATGATCCAAACCTAGTCCTTTTATCATACATAGCATGTGACAGCCATCTGCGTTATTGAAGAATGAAACGTGGAAACAATAAGAAAGCTCTACCTCTCCATCTGACATAAAAGCAACCTTCAACTATCACCCAAGTCCCAATGTTGAATAGCCAAGATCTTTCACCACTCCAAAATTTCTTTTCCCAGGTCTGCCACTAGTGGTCACTGCTTCCCTCTCTTCATATGCCTACCCCTTCCCTTTCCACATCAACTGTTCACAGTATCAATCTCTTCACTGCCCTCCAACTTATTCCTTCCCTTTTTTTTGTTGCTGACAAGGTAATGTAATTTATAAAAAGTCAGTACCACAAAGGTACATAGGTACAGAGAATAGTACAATTAACAGCGGATTTATATAAATCATCTATGACCCCATACTATCGAAAGAGTACAAAAATTGTGCGATACTATCTAACATACAACCCTTACACCACAAGTATAAATTTTGTTAACGCCTATGTTTTACAAAAGATATATTGTCTTTCTATCGTAACATATTTTGTTTCTCTCTAGCCAAAACAGTCCAGAATATACAAAAAGGAACAGTCTTCTATATCATCTCAAGTCTTTCATCAATCCGCCGATCCTGCCAGCATTATAGTAGACTCTTAATATCTCCTGGCATATCCCTTCCTTTTTCCCTTTGTGTGCTGGCCTCTACTCTTACCGAACATACTCCAGCTTATCAAGCCTTACATAGAGCAGAAACCTTGTTCAATGTACTAAGTCTCTGATGCATGTTGCATTTCGGAAATGTAAGCATACCTTTCTCATACAACTTTACCAATACCTTAATGATGGAATGTATCATCATTTACACAGGCAAATATAGAAAAAGAGTGTCCTTGAAGAACAGAAGAAAGAAGAGTGGAAAATTTGCAGGTGAAAGGTTCATCATACATCCGAATGCATTTAGAGTTAGGTTCAGATCCTAAAATGTATTAACGCAAATAAAATGAGGAAATACCTACTATTAATCACATCAGGTGCAGCTGTCCCCATCCAGTCTAATGAAGAAGTTGTAAGACTGGTGCTTTTAGCAAATAATTTCTCTCTGACAGTCCTAATGGAAAGACCGTTGCCCAGTTGAAGTTTTCCAAGCCAAGGTTCGAAGTTTTTTGGGCTGGTAGTCAACTTGCTTCCTTCATCGAATGCAACTTCATAAGCATCAATCGTTTCATCACGTAATGAGTCATCAGTAGTTGACAACACATACATGGCATCTAGTGATGTTTCTCCACCATTCATTGTTTGGCCACCATGTTTTATGGATCTGCTGTCTTTCGCTTTGAAGTGAAGCAAAGTTGTGTTCCCTAAAATCAACGATTTCACTTCCACTCCGGCCTTGATCGTGACAGCATGTAGTTGTGCAAGGCACCATCTATGCAAAATAGCTGCAATATCCTTTTTGAGATCAGACTTGATGCTCGTTTCTTTGTCTTCCTTGCTAGATTCACAAGAAAAGGCTGCGGCAATTTTCTCATGGATTGACCAATCACTAGTACCCATCTCAATGTCTGAATTGGTTCTGAAAAGTGTTGTTAATGTTTTATTATAATTATTCTTGCCCAAAGCCTCAGAACTATTTTCTTCAGAAACCCCAGTCTCCTGGAATATCTTGAATTCACAAGGTGAAAGCGAAACTAGAGGAATCTCTTTCTTCAACTTGACATTGAATCTCTTCACATATACACCTGGAAACAGAGTAATTCTTTTTAGGATTGCAGTAGGTAAATGGAGTTGAAGTAATTGCAAGCAAACCAACTTAATCTTCATGCAATACTGGACATCATCACAGGAGAAACATTTTAGTCCGAAATATGTCAATTGTAATTTACATACATCAAAAGGTAACCTTCAGAAAGCTCCTTTTTTAATGACTTGGCTAAAGATTTCAAACGCAATAATGTCTGCAAAGACTTTTTGAGGTTCTACTATTACTTTTCTGACCGGAGGGGTTTTTAAAGAGTGGCTGTTAGAAGGTTGGACAATAAGTAACATTCTTTAATCAATGAATCAACTGACAAAATGAATGTGATGTTCCCTATTTTTCTGTTTCTATGAAAATTAGATCACAAAGAATAAAATAGTGGTATATGACAAAACAAAATAATAAGAAATGAAAATAGACGTGACTTGTTTCCTGAATACCAACAAATGTAATTACTTGAACTGCCTAGATAACACCAGCTTTTCTGCAGTTGGTGCATCAATTTAATTCTGAAAGAAAAACCTACGTGAGTGTAACTCTGCTCTCAAATAAAGCCGAATAGACCGAGGAAGCATGATATGTCCTTTAGCCACTGATTCTGAAAATATTAGACGAACCATTGCTTGATGGATATTGTGCTTGTCAGGTAGAACTCCTACATTGCCTTCCTTTGAAGTTACACTACTTTTCCCTGTACGGCTATCTGTCTCATGGTTCTTCTTGGTTTCTCTGGGAAGCAATCTGGGAATTATTACCACAGTCTGAAGAGGTTCAAAAGAGTATATACTGGCCGTCTCAGGATGAATGAAGATAGCAGAAGTCAAAACCACTCTCATCTCGACTCCATCAGCCTCGTATTTGTGAATACATTGATCATCAGTATCTTGGACTCTCAATAGTGCCTTTGAGACCGAAAGCTCATCGTCTTGCATCATGGATTCCTCACCCGAACTAATATTTCTTTTGCGCCTTTTTGGAGCAACAGCAACTTCAGTTCCAGGGACAAGTTGTACTGATAACAACCAGGCAAGTCAGATATTCACGATTTTGAAGTTTTAAAATACAGATTAAGCACATGAAAAGAACATTTTATATGTCCTACCACCGTTGACCTCATTTGCCACCAAAATGAAGTTAAAGGAAGAGGTAAAAAATCAAACAAGCATATTGCAAATATGCAGCATTTATTAAAATTTCACACACCATAATCTTCTTTCCCTCCTTAAATAGCAATTTGGTTATTGATAATGAAGGCATCAAGAAGCCTTAATCCACGATCTTGGTAAATGACAGTCCCAGGTAATAGATACCAGCAATTATCTTCTCTTCCTAGTAAGTAATACAAGGATTTAGGTAACATTGTCAGAGAATACATGAAAGAGTTAAACTCCACGACATGCATCTTCTCTTCAGAAACTTTATATTACAGTTGGGCAAGCTTTTAAGGAAATTGACCAAGTTTCTATCTAGAAATAGACTACAATTATAAGCATTAAATGACATCCATCAACCAATGAATTAACATCCTCTTACCTACCGGTGTCAGCGGAAAGGTTGAAACAACTTTAAATGTGATAATTGTTTGCCCATGCAGCCACAAAGGAAATCGCATTGCTCCATAGACAATCGCAACCTGTATAAAATATAAAATGGTTGAATATTGGTCAACTTCAAGAAAAAAATATCATTCCCTGGGTTTCAAGTTAAATATTTTGTTTGATTTTACACTGTTCTGTTTTTACTTTACACTGTTCATGAAAGAAAAGTATAGACGGAATAGTATACTAACTTTGATTTGAACACGGATTACCTTCCAATAAGTGGGTTTCTAGGTCAAGGTGATAAATTATTTTTTCTGATTTAATAAGTGGAGCGAACTGAAAGTGCGGAACGAGTAAAAACATGTCAATATATATAATATGTGGTAATATGTTCTAATTACTTTTTTGTTCTTTTAACAACTGTGAAACTCGGGCCAACTTTCTCACCTGGACTCCTACACTTGGTACCTACTACCTCCCATCAACACACACACTATGTGACTCTGTATTAACACACAGATAATTCTAGATATTAGGTAGGATCTGAAACAATCTCAAGCATTCCCTCCCACAAATTGCCAAAACAATATAGATGCACATGCGTATTCTACTTTAAATTTTAAGTACTTTCTGGCAGAATTTCTGAGCAGTAAACCAAAAACTCAGAGCAAAGAGAAAGGATGCCATTCAGCAACCAATGGTATGATTCTTTTTCTCCGGCAGCACAAGGTTGACTTAAGTATCCAAAGAATCAAATCCCACTTCACTGTCATACAGCAGGTCGATCTTTCATAAATTCAACTATAACCAAGATTTATAAAAAAGAAGTTTGATCAATTGTCTGATAGCCTTGACTTCTCGGGGCGAACGGCATCTGTTGCCTTAAGCTAACAAAATCCCATAAAGCATATGTTCATCTTTGCTTGTTTATCTTAGTAATGTCCATAGGTCACAAAATTAATATTTTATTAAATCTTTTAATTTTTGATAACCGTGGTGTCTGATCCAACTTTCTCGCACTCAAATACTTCTTAAAAACTGTATGAATTGAGATTTATTTATGTATCAGACTGAAACAAAGATAGAAACTTGTCAGACTACTGCAAGAAATCAGCGAAGAAACATGGACAAAGTATACAAATAAACATATTGGCGTGCAGTACATCACTCTTGCACTTTTTTCACCCTCTTACTGCCCCATCCCTACCTTCCCCATTCATGCAGACTACAAATCCCATTAGGGTGGTTGTTCCAACTGTAATTGAAATTACTTTTTCTTTTTTCTTTTTTTTCTTTTCTTTAGGGGAATAAGCAGTTCGCTAGAATATCCCCTGGCTCCAACACTAATGTTATTGTCTTATGCATTGCCATCCTTATGAAATTTTAAGTGATCAAGGATAAAGTTCACATGAAAGATCATATCCTGGTAGTTTCTTATCCATTCCATTTTGGTCCTAACCATTTATAAGCAAAAACTACAGCAAAACCTTGAAAGGCTAAAACAAATGGATATACGAGTTCGAGGAAAAACTATTCTTTGATAACAAACATCAAGGAAAAACTTAAAACAAGAAAAACAACAAACTCCCTCTCAGTAACACATACTAATAGTATTAAGCACCTGCTTTAAGATAGCTTGCTCTGCATGCTCAGCATTAAGCTCCAAAACTTCCCAATCATCTTCAGTATCTGGCTCTATGGTAACCATAGTAGCTTTAGGCAAATTGGACACTACTTTTACTTGAACCACAGTACGATCCGACAATCCAATACACTCCGCATATTGCTTCGCAATCTACATCCACACAAAACGAAAATTTAAAAATGAACACTGTAGTACTGTACAGTTACCAAAGTTTGCCTAATCATTCTACCGCCTTCTAACAGAGTTTCTAAACGGAGAAATTGAAGTGCAAACCTGAATTGAATTAGGAAATGGATTGGATGAAGCGGAACCGGACCAAGCTAGGCGCCAGAGATTGTTGCCGGAGCGGAGTTCGAGGGCTAGAACAGGAGGAAGGTAACCGGAAGCAGTGGTGGATTCGAGAGTCTGGAGTAACGTCACTGGTAGCGATACGAAGCAGCTCTCAATTCCGGCGACAACTCTCACCTCCAACTCCATTTTTTCAGATGATTTTGGAGTGTGAGATGGATGAATTGTTTCTCTTTTAGATGAGGCAGAACAGAACGAGACTGATTGCTGACTAAAATGTTGCTTTTCCCGAGGGACTCCTAATCATTGAATATGGTAGGTTGTTAGACCCGACCCGAATAAAATGTGATGGGTAAGTGGGTCACTATCCTTATCCCATGATTTGGGATATAATTAATTAGGTAGGTAATTCCGATATATTATTTTTTATTACTTTAAAATGATCGAGATTATTACGATAATTATTAATTTCATAATATATTCTAAAGGATAAATAGTTATTTTAGTTTTTATGTTACTGAGTAATTGTAGTTTTCGTTTTAGTATTATTTCACTAAATATTTTAAATCTTCAATTAAAATAAACGTATGATTTTGATCCTTAAAATTATAAATATTGAAATTTCAATAAAGCATATATTTTTATATGTATAATAATAATAAAAAATAACAAAAGTTTCATTTCGTCGGCAAGATAATTATGGTTAATAACTTGATATGTTGTTTTGCAATATAAAATTTTCATTTGAGAGTTAAATTGAGAATGTCATTGTAGTATCTCGAGCCTCAGGAATAAAGAAGGTTGTTAGCTAAAGATGTGAGTGCTTGGTGATTAGAGGCATAGCTATATGCAGCGAAGGGTGATCGGTTGAGCATCACTTTTTTAAAAATTATATTATATATAGAAAAAATTAAGTATATAGAATAAAAAATATATTTTTCATATGTATATTTGAAATTTTAAATACTTACTGAAATTTCTACTTTAATTTTGTCACTGTAACCATATGGTATATTTAGCAACTTCAAGCTATCTTTCAATATTTTTCTTTTCTTTAACAGTGGTAACAACACTTAATTGTGAACTATTTAATGGAAGGATACTAATATATTATTCGTGACGGTGATCTTGTTAGTGAAGAAGGGCTTTATATTTTTCATTTTAAGTTTACAATCTCGTTACATTTTTAACTTTCATTAACCTTAAGAATGAAAATTATATGTTTAATTTAATTAAACATTTAAAATGATAAGTGTGATAATACATGGATCAAAATTATACTTACTCGTTAACTTAAGAACTAAAATCACTATTTGCCCTATTCTTAAATATTAACTATTGTAGCAAATGATTGAAAGAGCTCATCATAATAATTGACTGAGAAAAAACTAAAATAGAATCATGATAATTAACGTGTAATAAATATTTCATTCAATTTTTTTTTAAGTTCGTACAATTATCTATATTTTTATATATATGTGACAAAAAAATTGGTTAATTACGTACTTCTGTATAGTAGTGTAAAATATCACCTATTTAGTTTTAGTAATTATTATACATACAAACAACAATAAAGTAGGCTGTGTATTTTTTTTTAAAAAAATACTGGGTAGGGGAAGGAGAAATTGAGAGGAATTACAATGCGAGAAATCAAATCCTCATCAAGGTAGCCACTTAATTAAGCTATCAAGATTTTCCAAAGTCGGATACAGACGAGGTATATTTCTTTATGTTCATAAGCCCCATGATGGGCTAAACTGTTTGTGTTGAACCATAGCATACTAGATTACTATAAGATGGCATTGTGTCTATTATGTAGACAGATTAAATATTTAGACTAAGGTCAGATATAGTTTAACCAGGCTGGTTTAAAAAAGGTCGCCGAAGGAATCCGTTGGATTACCCGTTGGATTACTCATGTGGAGGGGGGACCAGGGCGGACCCGGATAGTAGGGGCTTTCATACACTGTTGCCAGGTTAAAACTATGTTAGTAAAGATTCCTAACAGTCTGACTGTGTGATCCGTTGTAATTGTGGTATCAGAGCCTGGTTAAACTATATCTGACCTTAGTCTAACTATTTAATCTGTCTACAAAATAGACACAATGTCATCTTATACTAATCTAGTATGCTATGGTTCAACACAAACAGTTTAGCCCATCATGGACTTATGAACATAAAGAAAATCAAAATAATAAAGAGAATAATACCTTGAGACGATATCTTCGAAATCAAATTGCAAATTTTATTCAAACTTTGAAAACTGAGAAAATATTACAAAGAGAGAGGTATAGAGAGTGAGGGGGTTCTAAAACCTGCCTCTAACTAAACACACTTCATTTACTTATATAGTGGTGGAAGGAATCTTCAAGATAAAACCAAACAAAAAGAAATTGGCCCACATCTTTACAATGGTCATTCATACAATAAAGAGGCCGACACATTCATATGGTCTTTTATTCCATTATATAAAGTAGTTTGGCCTTATTATATGTGGCCGACACCTTTATCAAAGTAGCTTCAATTATTTTGGCTTCTAATGACACCAAGTATGCTGATAGCTATACTTTTTCTTTTCCTTTGCCAGCTGCACTCGCACTCGGAGATTCTTCGATTTGTTTTTGATAAGTTTGTAGGATAGCTTCAATGTCGATTTCTTCATCACTATCCACATTTTGTCCTTCACCTGCTAAACAAGTTTCTTTATTTTCATCATTGGTATGACTGGCTGATACCATGGAAGTATCATATGTTAATTCAACATCAAGATTTTTCATTAAATCCCTTTTCACTTCCTCCATATAAATCGCTATTGCTTCCGACTTCGAAATTAATCCCTTCTTCATTTGAAGTTTTCTAGTAATTTTTTTGAATGGAATAAAATCATCCATCGCTGGTGAATCATTTGTGGCGGAATTATAATAACCACTTATTTTTACATTTATTAAATCAAGGATTTCCTGTCCATGCATATGTCCGTCCTGATTTTTCTGTAATAATTTACTCCAGAACTTTGTATAAAAAGTTCTTTGCAAACATGAGAATTCATCAGAAGTAGTATTAACTTTTATCGACCATTTTAAGATCCATGGAATAGAGAATTCAATGAAGAAATACATTAGTGACATTCCCTCAAAGAATATATTATTTTCCTGTAAATTTATAATCTTTGGGGAGATATCTACCCACTCTAAATATAATTTCTTATAAGATTCTGGTAAAATTTTAACTGAGGGACCATATAATATCCACCATCTACAAAACCAATTAGGAATATTCCTTTCAAATATATTAGAACATATCTTAATAAACCATGAATGCTTTTCTATTAGCATTTTCATATAATAATGCTTTATTTGTTGATTTAGCTTAATTTCATTACATAAGGAAAGTCCTTCCTGTACACAAGCACTTATAAGCTTTCTATAAGTGAAGTAATCATAATTGGAAAAAGCCTCTTATAGGGACAATTAAAACTAGTCTTGTATATGGACCAGTATATTTTAATGCATCTCCTAACTTGCAGATTTCATTACAGGATGAGAATTCATTAAGTTCTCTTATATTAAATGTTAAACTTCATGGTTATGATTATATGTCTGGCACTTAAGTTGTTTGTATTTGTTATAGAATATATTATAAACTTTTGCATACTTTGAATCCTATGTGCAAAGTAATTAATTTTAAAAACTAAACTATTCTTATAGAAACTAATTTTGATAAATCTAAGGTAGTCACTAGAAGACCTATCAAGTGGGAAGAAATTGATTTTTCACAAGAGTGGGTTATTGAAAACACTACCAAACCCCGAAATAATATTAATGCGGATGTCTCTGAAATTGAACAGTTGAATGATGGAACTGTAAAAATTAAATTTTCAAAACCGGCTAACATGCTTATTGATAATCGTAGCATGTCTTCTAGAATTACTAGATCAAATTCCTCTTATATTTCTCCTATGGATTATATTGTGCAAATTCCTTCTAGGGCATCTACCTCTCAAATTAGAGAAATTTATAGATGCGATAATATAAAAATTGATAACGATAATATTGCTAGACCTGTTCCCAGACCTAGTTCAGATTTAGATATAATTGAATTTGAAATGAATTTTCCAGATGGATTAACTACTTAAAAATTTGTTTATGATGTCTGACAAGCAAATTGATTTTAGCCCGGGTTCCCCGACAAGAGCACGAATCGCTAAAGATTTTCAGCAAAGAAAATGAAAAACTATTTAGAAAATGATTTTTCCAGAATTTTAATAAAAATGAGCAATATGAATTCCAATAAGAATTCTATAAATATATTGTTGATTCAAAGATTAATAAATTAGTTCCTTTCGTACCTTGGTTTATGTGTAAACATGTTCATAACTATATCTCTATGTTAGAAAGAGATTTTATGTTAAGTAACGGAGAAATTACTAAATCTGTTTTCCCTCCATTACAATCTTTTCAAATTAATAAAAATGATAAAATTGTTAATTTTAATGCTTTTTCAAAATTATTTGAAAATGATACTGCTTTAGTTACTACACAACATGTTAATGTCATGATTAAGCAAAATAATTACGTCAATATTTATATGAGTATTTTGGGTGAACATATTATTTATTTACATGATAAGGTGGATAAGATAATATCTTTATTGCCTACAAAAGTCAAGGGTAAAGAAAAAATAGCTCATAGCAGCTTGCAACCTCCTCCTGAGATTGAAGATTTTAAGATCAAGGATTATTCAGATCTTGAAAAGTTTTTAGAAAAAAGGTTCACAGGAGGAGGAGTACACCCAATAAATGCTGACAACTTCTAAAGGAGAACCTAGTTACGTTAATAACAACTTTTTTGATGATATTAATAAAATATCAGAAAAATATGCTAGAAAACCCGTCCAAAGGATGTTTTACTATCCTAGGCCCATTCCACAAAATGTTTTGCTGGAAGAACATGAACACATTATAACTATTAGTTATAATGGTAAAGAAATCTATGAATGGAATATCAATGGTTATACTGACCGACAGATTTATACAACTGTCCATAGAATGCTTATGTATAGTACTATTTGTAAAGCTAATAAAAATAGTGATAAAACTATTGCAGATATGATAACTGCTGGTTTTACTGGCCAATTAAAAGGTTGGTGGGATAATTATCTCAACCAAGATCAAAGGGATAACGTCCTGTTGACAGTAAAACAAGAAGGAGATAATGTTACTCAGAATGCAGTTTATACATTGGTTCTAAATATTATAGAACATTTCTCATGAAGATGGTCGGA